TGGATCGGATTCCGGCTGCCACGGCCACGTTTAGATGAAGCCGCCATGCTAGATGCCCGCGAACTTTTATTTAAGTGCATGCGAAAGAACTGCATATGGTCGATATTTGCTGGTCGGTAGGTGGCAGCTTCGCATCCGAGTGGTGTCTTAGCAGCTGACGTCATAGTGGTCTTGTTCGCACGCCAGCTCAACGAAACAAGCCGGTCGCTGGGTGTACTGTGGTCGCGTGGTCCTGGTTGGGTGATCGGTGTCACTCGTAATGATATCGTAGATTTGGGACGTCAAACCACAACAGTTAATAATCGTGTGGATTGCGATTTGTTTTCACGACATGCTAGACCACCACGGCCATTTCGTTATTGTCAAAGCATATTAGGAGTTCTGTTCAGTGCCTCGAAGCTCCTGCTTTGAACTCCCAGGTTTGTAGGATCATACACTATTCTCTCAGGAAGTGCTTTTTTTTTCTTTTTTTTCGGCACTGTATATCAATTTTTCGCTGTTTTGACGCAATGGTGGGGCGATCTTCAAGCTTCTACTAGAAGCTTGTAGATTGCCCGGACATGTAGGTGCATAAGAATCCAAAAGCGAAGTTCGCTTCTGAATCTTATGCACCGCCACATTTCGCTAGGACTCCACACAAAGACCTGCAATAATGTGGTTCCATATCCGCGTATAAGAAGATCACACATGAAGTAAGCAAATCAGCACTGCCTCTGTGATTAAGAAACCTCACGTGCAACTGAGCCTGCAGAAAGAGCAGCAACGAATGGCTTACAGTAGGTAACATAATAATTGAAACAAACAGTGTTGCAGTCTAAAATAGGGGTCTCGTAACGGTAGGTCTATATGCCTTCCGCTGCTATACCAACCCGCATCTCAAAACAAGGCTCCCATATAGAATTGCTCGACGTCTCGAAACCCTAAATTATCGTCTTCGTCTAAATATAGCCTAAGGAAACAGCCTTGCGGTACTGCTTCAGTCAAGCGGCGACTTCATACTGCACCCACCGTGGATCTACCGACACTGCAGAGCATATTTATTTCAGTGTCGAATGTATGCCCATGAGCATGTGCTCTATGTTGAATACGTTCAATCCCCCGAAGAATATTCTCATTTCTCTGTGTATCAGGCCCCTTAGCCTGCCTCACGCTACGAAGGGGTTTAGAGCACTTTCATTCAGCTGTTTTAAACCATATCAGTGAGCTCGACACTTTAGCTTTAGCTGTACCTTGAAACCACTCAATTAAAACTTATCCTACTTTGCAGAATAAGTTTATAATTATCCTACTTTTACATCTTATGTCATTTCTTTTTCTTGCTCCCTATCTTCAGTCTCCAATCCCCTTGCGTACGCAGAGTAGCAATTCAGCAATTTGCATACACCGGCTAAATTCTCCACCTTTCAATAAAGAGTTCTCTCTATTTCTATCTCTCGTAAAAGTACACGCCATCGTGTCAGGACCCTGCATTAATTTGAATTAAATGGCGTCTTTTGATGTAGACATAGATGGAACTGCATGAGTGTTTTAGCATTATATCTCATCGAAACACGGCAGGAAGCGAACTTTGGGCAAAGTCTTTATGAACGTTACTGCGTTTAATGAAAAGACACAGACAGAGGAACTCCTCGCGTTCGGCCTTACTTCGCACTTGTGTTGCTTGCGTGGTTTTAAACAAGTATTCAACGTAATAGAAACTAGTCCGTACCCACGCTTTGCTTCATGACTGAAAACTTACTAGGCTAACGGGCAACGCACAATGTAGTGCAGAAACGTATGGAGCACACACTCGTAAGACTTTTAACCATTCAACACGGAAAAGGCTGCCAGGTCGGCGTGGAACGCGTATTACAGTCACAGATAAAACTATAGAAGAACGGCAAGGCCTTTTTTTAACACTCCCGGAACAACTACTTCGGGCACATATGCACGCCCCCCCCCCCCCCCTCCTATACCATAAAACATTATAATATTCGTGAAGTAAGGAACCACCCACTGATCCATTATTCGTTCGTTGAAACAATTATTCATTCAATAAAACGCTGGAATGATGTGTGGCAGAAGTGTCTTGGCCGACGGGCAATGTAGCGTTATTGACTGGTTGTTCGGACGTTGAAATACTGAGATCCCTCTGCCACACTCTGCAACGTGGCATATGTATGGATCGGCAAAATGTGCAATGATCCCCGAGATTCGCCCAAGAAAATATCTTGCACTGAAGGCTCACATTAGCGCTGACTAAGCGAAGTTTTTCTCAAGAGGACTCTGACTAAGATTTCTTCCGGGCCTCCATCGTCCCTCTTACCATAACACGGTTTTGGGACGTCAAACCCCAAACATTACTTAGAACCGCGAACAACAGCGACGCAGTAGTTAAACAAGGGCCAGTCGTTTACTGGCAATCGCTCCTGCTAAAAATGCGAAAGCCCGGAATCGTTCCCATGCAGTCGATTCGCGTTTCTTTCACGGTGAATTTCCTCAGCCAGACAGGCATGTATTCGTCATTTTTGCGACTCGATACGGTTCACCGTCGCAACAAAAGCATCACTGACAAGCCGAAATGAACCCCCACCCCCACACCATCTCTCCTGCGAATTCTAGGAGGTTAAAACATTTTTATAACCTGCTCGCGCGAATTGTATGAAACTTGTCAACACCTCCAATAAACTGTCAGAAAGTTAAAATGAAAGAGATATATTAGCATTGGTTCGCAAGTGTTCACTGCTTCGTCATACACACAACCGTAATTGAATAGTGAGAGAATATTTTGTTAAAAAAGAAAAAAAAAACATTTGAACACAAATCATTACGCCGCCTTTCATTGTACGGACCACATTCTTCTTTCTCAATTTGCAACAAAGAAGCCCTTGTAGAAGTGATTGCGAAAATAGGGGACAGTCAAGGCAGCTGCGAATTTCATTGTTATTGCGCTTTTCTGCCTTCTTTCTTCTACTTTAGTAAGTAGTTGCGAATATATTCATTTCAATTTCGACGCGTTCTCGGGCGCCCGTTAATAATATCGGAAATAATAATTTTCTCGGGCGGGCACGCGTGCACACACACACACACACACACACACACACGCACACATACACACACACACACAGACAGACAGACAGACAGACAGACAGACAGATAGACAGACAGATAGATAGATAGATAGATAGATAGATAGATAGATAGATAGATAGATAGATAGATAGATAGATAGATAGATAGATAGATAGATAGATAGATAGATAGATAGATAGATAGATAGATAGATAGATAGATAGATAGATAGATAGATAGATAGATAGATAGATAGATAGATAGATAGATAGATAGATAGATAGATAGATAGATAGATAGATAGATAGATAGATAGATAGATAGATAGATAGATAGATAGATAGATAGATAGATAGATAGATAGATAGATAGATAGATAGATAGATAGATGCGAAAAGTCCTTGCAGTACGCAATGAATCACTTTGCGTTTATTATTGTATTGCATTATGAAGTGCTGGCAACATTATAAGGCAAATTATCATGTAGGATAACACCAGTAGCTGGGATCATATCTCTATGCCAACTTTTTAAAACACGTTAAAATAAAATAAAATGGTACTCACAGTGTCAAACTAATGTAATGAACACTTTCAAAGATATTTCTTTGAAACCGTGGAGGCAGGGCAGAAGTCAACTATAGTACAAGATGTAAAGCTGACGTGGTGGCTTTACCGTGGCCTACGGTACTACGAGAGTGCGAAAGCAGTAATGTGGAATAATGATCATCGTCATGTATTTCGCGGTTGACTCTCATGTTCATGGAACACTTCAGCATTGAAGACGATTTATATTTTAACTAGCAATTCAGATTATGTGAATCAGCGTGAATGCTGTATCCTTAATGATGATTATCAAGATGGTGCCTATGACGGCGTTTGTTGGAAGGCATTCTACGAGTGGCATCAACGAACCTGACATTGAAAGCTAATTCGGTTCTCATGGTCTGTGTAATGCAAATACAATAATGAGTCTGTAAGATGACGTACTTAATTAATGAAGGCTCTGTTGCGGATGATTGTGGCCGCGCGACAACAAGCAGGAGAACCGAGGAGAAAGAAGAAGGTAGGGGTTAGGCACGAGCTGTTGGAATAAAGGGACGTTCTTGGTGTAAGGCTCGGGTTTTGAATACGCGACAAGCTCCGCATTACACATGTCTAATGCTGGCTGTGTATCGTGGTTAACACCTGGCACAAGATAAGTATTACGGAAATATATCGATCCGATGTAATTGACATACTACCTCAATATTATTAAAAATTTATGTCACAAAGAAAGTTCTTTTCGTCAGTTGTTCCGTTTTCTTCCGAAAATTTTAAAAACTTAAGATTACACTAACGTAGTGCACCTCTTCACTACCTCACATACCTGATGCTCAGCCTCAATTTTATGTGATCTTTCCATTAAGCGTAGCTAAAGTACACAGCATCAGAGCTGTGTAGAGCTTGCAAAAAGTTTTCCTCTCTGCAAGACGCCTCACTTGAGCTAAATGATTTTTTAAGTATTATTTTTCATCTGAGGTGAAGGCTTTATGTGACTGCTTTTATTGTTACTCTATCTATTTCAATATTTCAATCGTTCGTTTAATTCACCAAGAAGATATACAACCTTCTTTCTTCTCCATGTGGGAAGAAACGAAGCTTGACTCTAGAACGTAACCGGAAAGGCTTTACTTTATTTCTTTTGCAGTTAAATGCGTTTCGGGAGTCCTCAAGCATCTAACTCGTTCGACTGTTTGTCACTTGAGGTACCACGGGACGTCAACTTTTAAAAGATTCATGTGTCTGTTTTGTATTTCTTTACAAAGAAATTTTGTAGTTGCCTCCCTGAACTGTCTTTCAAAGTAGGCACTGCCGCAACCACACATTTAACTTCTGATTCTGCTGTTATGTTTTCTTTTATAATTATATACTTGGAAATGTAAAAGTGCCCACGTATTTCTCCTTCGCAGATGTAACCCGCCATCCTGGGACATGGTAGGATAGGAGTGATCCTACCCGGGTGAAGCTACGCAACAGGCTCGATAAGGTAAGAAGCATTTTTCTATTTTTTTCCATGCTTTATAGTTTTATTGCTTTCCCACAATGAATTACGAGCGTTCCGACAAGAACATGAAAAAAAAGAAGTCTATCTAGACTGACAAATATATATATATATATATATATATATATATATATATATATATATATATATATATATATATATATATGAGATATAACAGACAGTAATGCAAGGAATGTACAGGGGAAGTTATTAGAACCAATGGAATGTAAATAAGAAGAAACAAGAAAGAAAGGTGGATGAAAAAATTACCAACTGTGAGCAGGAATCGAACCTACGACCTTCGAATTACGCGTTCGATGCATCGAACGCGTAATTCGAAGGTCGTAGGTTCGATTCCTGCTCACAGTTGGTAATTTTTTCATCCACCTTTCTTTCTTGTTTCTTCTTATTTACATTCCATTGGTTCTAATAACTTCCCCTGTACATTCCTTGCATTACTGTCTGTTATATCTCATTAATATTGTGTTAAAACACGGAAAAACGAGCCCTTAGGTATACACTTCTTTCCCTTATATATATATATATAATCCTTATGAAGGCCAGACTCTAGGCCGAAACGTCGAAATAAACCACGGTTGTGACCGCTCACGGAGGATCTAGTGGACTACATATATATATATATATATATATATATATATATATATATATATAATATATATATATATATATATATATATAACAAATTCTATTCAACGAAGATCAACATTAAAATGTAGAGTGCCCCCCAAACCTTGGCTTTCACAAAGAAAATGACAGTACAATATCCATCGGGAATAACAGTGGCAAGCGATCACAGCAGAGGCAAGCGAAGTGGCAAGTTATCATAGCAGTACCAAGCAGTGCTACGCTACCAGTGGCAAGCCGCTGTCAAGTGATCGCAACAGTCACAACCTACCAGTGACAAGCGATCAGTAGCAAGCGATCACAGCAGTGGCAAGCGATCAATGGCAAACGATCACAGCAGCCAAATTAAGCTATAGTGGCAAGTAAACGATTACAAGGAGTCGCAACAGTGGCAAGCAGCTAATGACCAGCGAACAGTGGCAAACGATTACAACAGTGGCAACGTGCCAGTGGCAAGCGATCAGGGGCAAGCAATCACAACAGTGGTAAGCAATGGTAAGCGTTCACAACAGTGAAAATCAGGTAATGGCAAGCGAACTAGTGGCAAGCGAACAATGACAAGTAGTTAGTGGTCAACTAGCAGAGCAAGTGGCCAAAAAATAATCTCATAACGTCGTTCTGTAATGAAAAAATCCACGTGCGCCAGGGCCACGGTGGCTAAGGCCAACGTTTGGGTAAACCACGCTCCCCGAGTCGAAGCTGCAGCGCTGTTGTTGTTGTTGTTGTTGTTGTTGTTGTTGTTGTTGTTGTTGTTGTTGTTGTTGTTGCTGTTGTTGTTGTTTGTTGTTGCTGTTTTTGTTGTTGTTGTCGTTTTTGTTGTTGTTGTTGTTGTTGTTGTTGTTGTTGTTGTTGTTGTTGTTGTTGTTGTTGTTGTTGTTGTTGTTGTTGTTGTTGTTGTTGTTGTTGTTGTTGTTGTTGTTGTTGTTGTTGTTGTTGTTGTTGTTGTTGTTGTTGTTGTTGTTGTTGTTGTTGTTGTTGTTGTCGCCCGGGACCCGTCAGCAACCAGATCCTCAACACGCGAGTGTAAATGCCCATCTGTAGAGAGGTAACCGACACTTTTTTCCTTCGTCATTTCGCTGCCTTGCAACCGGGCTCGCGGTAAGCCATCAACGATTTCTCATTGGGATATCGAATTACACCATTAACGTCTGCAGTACGGGCATGTTTTCTCTCGGACTATGGCCACACGCCAACATAGCAAGAGCGCGCCGCCTGTGTTTGGCGAACGGAGTTCGCAATTCGATGGGGCAAAAATTCTAGTTCGGATTCCTCGCACACCGACGAGGCCACTGAACTGGTCGAAAGCTGATTTCACAGTTGTCTAGATAGTTGCTCATTCCAAATGCACTAAGCTACTCTAAACTCCACCATTCGCCGGCTACTGCGTGTGATGTACTTGTGCCGCGAATTCCAGCCCGGTCCCCAACACGAGGGTGCATCTCAGTTTGTAGGAGTTTGACGCATTTCTCAAATTCTCGCTTTAAAGTTTTACATCTCTGTCTCTGAAGCTGTTTTGTTGCTCAGCGTGACAAAAAAATTTATTACTGCGAAGGACGAGGGAACCTAAATATGTCCTTTACTGTAATGTTGGAAAAAATGTGTTCAAGTACCTTATAAAATATCTGTTCCTCTTCCGTTTTATGTCAAGTCCACAATTCTCAAAAATGAGATCATGAAAAATACTGCAAGGTGTATGAATTCTTCGAAAAATAACAAATGCTACAGCAGATCAGCATGTTAGCTATTAAATCCGAAGCATTCCTTCGCGTTCTGCGAGTGCTTTATGTGTCTATCTGCGTGTCTATCTATCTACCTTGTGCTTTCGTCATCACCCTTTTAACTTGGCACGAACCAAAATTAGTATCGTAGGCTAAGATAATTTGACGAATATTACGCGCTGGTCAATGCATGACTAATCTGACAATTCCACGCGTACGTCGTCAAACACTTTTCCCGATACAGTGCCACATACACGTGGGCGGGTATGCGCCGCTGGTATGCGGGTATGTGCCACAGGTGGTTGACACTTAGTATCTACCCACGAATGACGAAAACACACGTGGACAACTTCAACGTTCGAGCGTTACGAAATACCCGACATCAGTAGCGTTGACCCGGCGAGTGCAAAGAATTAGGGTCCCAGGAGGAATCGAATCCGAGCATTCTTCGTGGCAATCAAGCATCTCTGCCACAGCGCTACGCCAGGTCTTGGAAGCATTTTCCAAATGGATCCCAATGTTCATGAAACTTCAATTGTGGTTGCAATGCTGACTGACCATTTTTATAAATCGAACGTATTCCTTTGATACAGCGGTCACGTCGAGTTGGCGTCAATCGTACTTAGGTGCCAAGCGCTGAAGTTGATTTATGTAACCTTGTCCAGGGTTGCTATCCTCGCGAGCAACAGCGCTTGATATCAGCTATTGCTTCTAGTATTGCTAATACTCATGTTTCTGTTAGCATCGGTGCGGAAGTGCAAACGACTTGTACCTAAACATCTGCAACTGAACATCTGTCTGTGCGTGCAATATTTATACATATATTCACCGTCATTCCATGACCGTGTCGCTCAACAAAAAATTACAACATGGTCACTTTCCGTCCGCATCACGTCGATTCTCAAGGTACGTTTGATCCGGTGAATCTTCTTTTTTTTAGTCGTCTTGCGTTAGTTGCACTTTGTTAATGCAAGTAGCATTTTACATGCGAGTACTGATTTCAAATAATATTGCTACGGGGAGAATAACTTTACTGGACGAACACAGAGAATAAACTCGGTGAGGGACAAGATGGCGCCCATATTGCTCACATTGTCTGTCCACGCCGTCTTCCTCCCTGTCCTCTTCGTCTTTCTCGTCCACCCGTCACACTATGCAGATGTTTTCATTAGTTCAAATTGGAGTTTAAGTAGATCAATCAGAAAAAGTTACGCAAACTGTCACGGATGTTGGTGGACCCATTAAGATAAAAGAAGAAATTAACTCATTTTTGTATACGACACAACATACGTTCAGTTTATTGTACACAACAAATGTACAGAAAACAAGAGAAGTACACATTACATGCAAATGCAGCTGCTCAACAGACTGTCTGATGACATCTTCATCAACACAAAAATACGTAAAGAGACAACCTTCAGTGATATGCCGCAAGAAAATGGAGTCTTACTCATTACTTGACTCGCTTTCCCTAAACGCTGCTCATAATTATTATAGGTATGCGAGAATACTGTATGCATATAATAAAATGATTAATGACACTTTGACCCACATCCTCAAGAGGGAGGTATATAACAGCCACATATTACCAGGACTCGCCTACAACGTATCAACCTGGAGGCTTACCAAGAGGGTTCATATTTAGTTGAGGATGACGCAGCGAGCGATTGAATGGAATGATATAGGTGTAACCTTAAGAGACAGCAAGACGGCAGAGTGGGTCACCGAACAAACGTGGTTAAGGATATCGTAGTTGGAATTGAGAAGAATAAATCGACGTGCGCAGGACCCTAGCACGTGTACGCAAGATAGCAGCTGGTCATTAAAGGTAACTGATTGGATACCAAGAAAAAGCAAACGCACACGGGGGAAGGGCAGTGGCGAGACAAAAAAGTTCAGTGCACAGAGGAGATTAAGTTTGAGTGTACATCATGACAACAGCAAGCGCATGACTACATGTTGGCTAGAAAATCAAGCGAGAGGCCTTTGCCTTACAGTGGGCGCAGTCAAGCTGATTATGATGATTATGACGACAACACAGACAGACTAATAACACATATATTCACGGGGTGTGGAGACATCGCTGTGCACGTTGTAGCTCTGGAGCAGACGTCTTACAAACGCCACTCATCCAAAGGAAGCAATGAACGCTTTATTCTATTACGTAGGTGGAGGGTTCGGAGTTAATACGGAGACAGCACTAAGGACAAGGAAGGCTGCGAAGAGCTCCTATCGTGCTTGTAGCCTTTTTTGTATTTATTATTCGTGCTGTTGCTGGATTGGCTATGGATAACGAGCAACGCCAAGACAGCCCTGTTGTTTCGCTAATTTCCTCGGGCACGCGTAGATTGCGTTTCGCTGCAACAACGATGCATATGTGCTACCGACAGTTCGTTTTTCAAGCAGTCAACCATAATACATTATTATTACTACCAACGGTGTCAATGCATACCATTTACAGAAATGGAAGCCGTCTATTGATGTTTGTCGAGATCACCTTTTGACCACCAAAGATCGTAGGTGTTGTCCAAGCGACGCAGTCACCCCCCCCCCCCCTTTTTCCTCTCGAAACCTCTTCGTGTTCAAGCGGTTTTACTTCTGCTGGAGCAGCATTCATCTGTA